TGAATGAATGAATGAATGAATGAAGGAAGGAAGGAAGGAAGGAAGGAAGGAAGGAGACCTATATGACCATCTATCCCATGTAATGAATGAATGAATGAATGAATGAATGAATGAAGGAAGGAAGGAAGGAAGGAAGGAAGGAAGGAAGGAAGGAAGGAAGGAAGGAAAGAAGGGGACTTATATGACCATCTATCCCGTGTAATGAAGGAAGGAATGAAGGAAGGAAAGGGACCTATATGACCATCTATCCCATGTAATGAAGGAAGAAAGGAAGGAAGGAGGGAGGGAGGGAAGGAAGGAAGGGGACTTATATGACCATCTATCCCATGTAATGTAGGAAGGAAGGAAGGAAGGAAGGAAGGAAGGAAGGAAGGAAGGAAGGAAGGAAAGGGACCTATATGACCATCTATTCCATGTAATGAAGGAAGGAAGGAGGGAAGGAAGGAAGGGGACTTATATGACCATCTATCCCATGTAATGAAGGAAGGAAGGGAGGGAGGGAGGGAGGGAGGGAGGGAGGAAGGAAGGAAAGTTATCGCTGGAATTAATACCATTGTAATCTATTCAACTTTCAGTGCCATTCTGAAGTTAGAAGCATTCATGTTGGTCAAGAAAGAAAAAGAATGTTTTAACATGAAAGCAACTTGGGTAATAAAAAGACGACAGAGGAAAAAACAACAACAAGTGCAATAAGAAAACTGAAGTGGCATTTTTTTCACGCTCCAAAAGAACAAAGCAAATACATTGTAGACTACAGTGGCTTAGAGAGCAGCTTGATTTATCATGTTTCTTTGTTGGAAATGTACAATAAACTACATTGCCTTACTCAGCCGTTTACTCCTACTTGCATCAATATTACATGAAGCAGAGGAATTATGGCTGAGCAAGGGGTATAGAATACATCCCTTAGGAATAGAGCTTCAGCTGTGGTTTATTATCTCCCTCCCTTTACCAGATTGCCTCAGGAATATGTGAGACATTTGCTACCCTCAAGTATTTGAGGCTACATTCAAGGAGAGTCTTACTGTGCAGGCATAATATGAATTCACATCCTGCGGAGTCTCGGATAAGCTGGATATAAGTCAAGAGATATGTTGTACTGTGCATAAATATTTTATTTAGTTAGGATTTATTGGCTTCTCGCTATCAGGCTCCCAAAGCTACTAGATGCAGTCATAATAACCGTTGCAAAGGAGCCAACCAAAAAGTGATGTTCAAAGAGTGCTTTCGTAGGCAGGAAAATGAGGCCCAGCCTCCCAAAATGTGTTGGGACCTATTAAATTGTTCTGGGCCCCTCAAATGTATCTTCTGTCAATACACAGACATTTATGTATAGACACACATTCATATTCTCCAAAAGGAATATTATGTACAATGCTCTTTTTAATGCATTTTAGAAGGTTAGGGTTTCTTTCAGACTGTCTTAGAAGTAGAAGATGAATCATTTGGCTTTTCCTGGAGAAATAATAAACGAAGTCCAGCACATGCATTGACGCACCGATTCCTAAAATCCACACTAAATGTTTGGAGACATGTGTTCATTGCTGAATTTCCTGAAGGAAAGGGAAGCCTTCCTTCTAAGAAAATTACTGGTTAACATAACATTGTAAGACTTCGTGTACATCTCTGATTTTACTAGGACTCCCAATTTGGTCTTTTATGAATCTGGAAGCTGGGAAACATGGCTTCATCAGATGGGATAGCATGGCTATGATACTTAAGCTCAAGAATTAAGATGGGAAATGGGTAGAAACTAAGACTTAGGCATTCTGTCTCTCTTGTTTGCCATTTAGTAGCCATTTAGATAGCTGAAACTCAGATATGGTAGCCCTATGGGATGGTGACTAAGAAATTTATTTATTTGTTTATTTAGTTTGTCAAACATGTACAAGATAACAGGTATAAGTATAAACATGGACATGAGCACATGAAATGAGTACAAATAAATGGGAACAGTAGGACAGCGCCGGTAGGCACGCTGGTGAGCTTATGCACGCCCCCTTACAGACCTCTTAGGAATGGTGTGAGGTCCATAGTAGACAGTTTAAGGTTAAAGCTATGGGCGTTAGAGGAAGTAACAATGGAGTCAGGTAGTGTATTCCAGGCATTGACCACTCTATTGCTGAAGTCGTGTTTTCTGCAATCGAATTTGGAGCAGTTTACCTTGAGTTTGTATCTATTGTTTGCCCGTGTATTATTGCGGTTGAAGCTGAAGTAGTCGTTGACAGGTAGGACATTGTAGCAGATGATTTTGTGTACTATGCTTAGTTCAGACCGTAGGCAGCGTAGTTCAAGGTAATCCAAACCCCAAATTCCAAGCCTGGTGGCATAAAGGATTCTATTGTGAGCAGAGGAGTGGAGTACTTTTCTCGTGAAATACCTCTGGACCTGCTCAATTCTATTAATGTCCAATATACAGTGTGGATTCCAGGCAGAAGAGCTGTATTTGAGGATTGGTCTGGCAAAGGTTTTGTATGCCCTAGTTAACAATACAATGTTACCGCACAAAAAGCTTCACAAAATTAGGTTAACAACTCTTAATGCTTTTTTAGCAATGCTGTTACAGTGAGCTCTGGGACTTAGATCATTTGAGATGAGTACTCCTGGGTCCTTGACAGAGTGAGTGTTATCTATGACATCATATCCCCCAGCTTGTATTTGGTGTTCCGATTTTTGTTGCCATTGTGTCAGACAGAGCATTTGTTAGTTGAGATTTGGAGTTGCCAATTGTTCGACCATTCCGACACATATATCAATCATAGAATAGTATTTATTTATTTATTTATTTATTTATTTATTTATTTATTTATTTATTTATTTGTTGTTGTTGTTGTTGTTGTTGATGTTGTTCAATTTCTATCTTGTCTTTCTTTAGCCATGCAGCCCTCCCTTCAGGTTTTCCCTATAACAACCACTCTCTTTTGTAGGTTGGGCTGAACAAGAAGGGCTCAAAATCTTTCAAAAACCTCAGAGTCACCTTATGATAGAAGTGGGTTCCTACTGGTTCAGACCAGTTCCGCCAAGTAGGTAGTAACTCGGCCTGCCACTCCCCCAAACCAGTTCTCTCGG